GTCCTGACTGGCCCCAGCACCCTCACCCTCCCTTCCACTGGCTCCTTCTCTCAGCCCACAAACTTGCCTCAGTCATTCATCAGAACATTTTTTTTAAACCCATCTCTTACCCTTGTACATGCCACAGCCTAGCCCACGTCTCCTTCCTTCCATCATCAGCCCCCAGGAGCAGTCTGCTGGTCCCTGCATCCCCCTTCTGCTCCTCCTACCCTTGTCCCTGACACCCGTGCCGGTGCTGGACCTGGTGAACCATCCTGGTGCTCTGAGCACCTGAGAGCCGCCCACACCCCTCCTCCCGGACAGCCCCTTCCCAGCCCTTCCTGCCTCCCTTGGCATTATTGTGATCACCTCTAAGGAAACAGCCCCCAAATCCTCTGCCCTCCCCCTGCAGTGCCCCCCTCCAGCCTGCAAATCCAGAATGCCAGCTGGAGTCCTGCTCTCCCTCCTGTCTCTTCTCCCAGCTTCCTGGCTCTCAGCTCTGTCCCCTGCTTCATTCCCCATGGCCAAAGGCTGACAGCTCCTGAGATCCTGCCCAGGGCAGTGTCCCCATCCCTGCCTCCAAGGCCACTGCAATCCCCAGGGAGACCCTCATCCTCTTGACCGCGCTGGCTTTCCTGACCAGTCATCCCAAGTTCGTCCCTGCCGCTTCTAGCCCACAGCCCAAGCCAGCATCCCATGCATGGCTCCTGTCACCCTGTATCCCTCCTCAAACCCCATCTCAGCCCCACAGGGCCTGCAGATGAAAGCCCAGTTTTTTTTTTTTTTTGGTTTAACAGTTAATTTCTTTTTTTTAAATTTTATTTTATTGAGTTATAGTCAGTTTACAATGTTGTGTCAATTTCCAGTGTGGAACACAATTTTTCAGTTATACATTAACATACATATATTCATTATCGCATTCTTTTTCACCGTGAGCTACCACAAGATCTTGTATACATTTCCTCGTGCTATACAGTATAATCTTGTTTATCTAGTCTATATATACCTGTCAGTATCTACAAATTTTGAACTCCCCATCTGTCCCTTCCCACCCCCCACCCCCCTGGCAACCACAAGTTTGTATTCTATGTCTATGAGTCTGTTTCTGTTTTGTATTTATGTTCATCTTTTTTTTTTTAGATTCCACACATGTGTGATCTCATATGGTATTTTTCTTTCTTTCTGGCTTACTTCACTTAGAATGACATTATCCAGGGACATCCATGTTGCTGCAAATGGCATTATGTTGTCATTTTTAATGGTGAATAGTATTCCATTATATAAATATACTACATCTTCTTTATCCAGTCATCTGTTGATGGACATTTAGGCTGTTTCCATGTCTTGGCTATTGTAAATAATGCTGCTATGAATATTGGGGTGCAGGTGTCTTTGTGAAGTAGGGTTCCTTCTGGATATATGCCCAGGAGTGGGATTCCTGGGTCATATGGTAAGTCTATTCCTAGTCTTTTGAGGAATCTCCATACTGTTTTCCACAGTGGCTGCACCAAACTGCATTC